GATACTTTAATTGTAATGAGCAGATTTAGCTCGAAGTGCAATCTCCTTATGTGAGATCTATATGTGGATCGGGTGGCACGCTGCCATGGGTATGTTATTCGGATCGGGTTGCGCGCCGCAACAATGTGATGTCGAGTCTAGTTTCCATACGCTATTCCTTTATGTGTTTCGCTTCCTATCTTCTAAGGAAAGTCCGTATTAGTGCGGGGTCTAGATAATTCCTTCCAGAGTTCGATTTCCTGTTTGTGTTGTGTTCGGATTGGTGGCCTATTGGTGCATGTTAGCATCATATGAGATTTTAACAATTTCTGGGGTGGCTTATTGCCTGAGCAGTTGTATCGGATGAGACGAGATCCCTTGATCTAGGATTCTGTGCAATCCAGCTATGTGAGGTATGTTATGGAGATAAGACCATTATAGGGTACAGAATGAGGTGAAGGCCTTGTCAGGAGTATAGACCTAATGATTTGTTGACTCGGCAATCGATTATGAATGTTGGTACATCTGTTCATCATGGCGATATGGTAAAGGTTAGAGTAAGACCTGTATACGTCATGGGGTGCAATGGGAGCACCAGATTAGTAGGATTTTGACTAAGTGGATCAGGAAAAAGGTCATTGTGGCCCTACGAGTGGGTAATGCAAAGTGTGAATTCAACAAAGTTATGCAATCGTGTTTGAGTACAGCGTATGGTGATTGATATGGTGATCGTATGTTGGAAACAGGCCTAGCATAGGATTCCGGATGTTGGAATCGGGCTCTAAGGCTTAATTGCTTGAATAAAAGGGAATATCTTCAGAATTTATCGAGCTAGCGTGCTCAGCTAAGTTGTGGTAGCACGGGAAGGTGCATGAGGTGCTAAACAGCGATTTCAGACTACTTCAGTATGGTTCTCAGCACGTTCGAGGACGAACGTATGTTTAAGTGGGAGAGAATGTAACAACCTGACCGGTCGTTTCGCGTGCTAGCGCTCCGTTCAGCAGTCGGAGGCCATGAACAGCTTCATTTCCGGTATTATGACTTGTACGCATGTTCGGAGTTGATTTGGGAAGAGAATCCTCATTTCGGAAGCTTAAAGTTGAAAGAATGAACTAGGTATGGAATTTTGAGTAAACGACCTCGGAATCGGGATCTGAAGGTTCCAGCAGGTTCGTATGATGATTTCGGACTTGGGCGTATGCCCGGATCGGGTTTTGGATAACCCGGGAGCGTTTTGGCGCCTAATGTGGAAGTTAGCATTTTAGAAGGAATTTCTTAAGTTTTGCTTGAAGTGCATTTCAGTGTTATCAATGTTCGTTTGGGATTCCGAGTCTGGGAATAGCTCCGTATGGTGATTCTGGAGTTGGGAGCGCGATCGGAAGTGAATGCGGAGGTCCGTAGGTCATTTTGAAGCTATTTGGCTAAAGATAGAAATTTGAAGGTTTTTGGGAAGTTTGACCGGAGGTTGACTTTTTGATATCGGGGTCGGAATCCAATTCCGAAAGTTGGAGTAGGTTCGTAATGTCAAATATGATTAGTGTGCAAAATTTGAGGTCAATCGGACGTGATTTGATAGGTTTAAACATCGGAAATAGAAGTTGGAAAGTTCAAAGTTCATAAAGCTTGAATCGGGGTGTAATTCATGGTTTTAGCGTTGTTTGTTACGATTTGAGGCCTTGAGCAAGTCCGTAATGTGTTTTGGGACTGGTTGGTATGATTGGTTGGGGTACCGGGGGCCTCAGGTGGATTCCGGGAGCAAACCATGATTTTCCTCACACTTATAGAACATTGCTAATTAACCTCTAGTGAGTGTCGGAGTTCGCCATCTCGTCTCTACCCCTTCGGGATTAGGCGGGATACTCACTGAGTACACGTTGATTATGTAGTCATACTACACTTCTGTGCATTTTTGTTGCACATGTATATATACCTCTAGCAGCCTCTTGGGCGTAGCAGCACGGACGACTCTGGGACTAGGTGAGCTGCACTGTTCGAGACGACCCGCAGCCAGTGTAGTTCCTTTCAGCATTTTATTATTTATTCCCTGTCCACTGTATTTCGGACAGATGTTGTATTTTACTTTCCTTATTGATAGTTGCTCATGTACTTGTGACACCGGGTTTCTAGGATGGGTTTCAACAGATTTATACCAATTGTTATTATTTAAATTTTAATTCAAGTAGTGAACTTTTATTTATGAAAATGGAAGGAAAAACCTTAGATTTTCAAAAGTTTTAAAAGAGGAATTAATTGATAATCTAGTTGGCTGGCCTGACAGAGGTGTCCGGCGCCACCACGACCCTTAGTGGATCTTGGGTCGTGACATTATATCTATAGTATATAGATATAGAACAAAGTATAGGTTATGGTGTTTATACATCAGCCCAACCAATGACTATTCATGATTCCATAATTGAATCAATTCCATACCGGTTCTTAGAGGAATGTTATGGTAAAACTTCGTTTGAAACGATGTGGTAGAAAGCAACGTGCGACTTGAAGGACAGGATCCGTTTTTTTGTTCCCCACATTTATCCCCTGCTTCCTTATGTCTAGTATTTAGACAAATTTGACTTTCTTTCTATTTAGAATAGAAAACTATTGATACGTCTTATGGCATTGAAATCTGTCAATAGTAACATAGTCACACTACTCCAATTTAAAAAAATGAAATAAAAATAATGAAAGTCAAATTTTCTTCTTCAAATTCTACATTACATACTCTTTTTCTACGAGATGCTGGGAATCCCTTGTACCACATAGTATGTAGATTTTGAAGAAGAGTATAAATAAGACAAAGGAGTTTTCAGAATTTTATTTTTTTGATCATAAATAATCACCAACAAGAATTTGGTTCTTTTTACGAACTTGATGTCGACAAATCTGCAAATCTAGAAATTCATTTCGGCCAATTGAACCTTCTCGAACTGTTTCTTTTTAAGAACCAAAAAGATTTGTGCCAAAATAACAGATGCCAAGAAGAACAAAAGTCCTTGGACACGTAATGGATCTTGAAGTACTATTTCTGCATCTCCCTGACCAAATCCGCCTACATTAGGATTACTCGTTAATGGTTGATCAAATTTGATAGATTCGCCCTCGGAAACAAGAAGTTCTGGTCCGGGAGGGATAATATCAACCACTTGACGTCCATCCGACGCATCCGTTATGGTTATCTCATATCCACCTTTTTCTTTTCGTATGATTTTGCTTACTATACCTGCTGCTGTAGCATTATAAGCAGTATTGTTACTCTTGCTGTCGTCGGGATAAATTTGGCCCCTTCCCCTGTTCCCGCCTACGTATATAGGATATTTTAAGAAGTGAATATCCTTCTTAGTAGCAGGGTCCGGGGAATTTCTGGGCCTTGGTGGTTCTGACGGACCAGTTGTTGAGGCGCGCCCCTCGGCTCACAGCTTGTATGGAAGGGCCTTCCTCCCCTTCCTCCTCAAAAATGACATGACAGTCCAAGTTGTCGTCTTCCAAGAACAGATTCTTCATTGCCACCAATGTTTCCTCTTCTTCTGACCCATATATGATGTCTGCCGGCTGGAAAGTCTGCTCCAGGCGAGGTATAGGGTGCTCCAGTGGATAATAAGGGTCGCGTCATGGTGGCGACCAATCCTTGAATTCTTCCCAAGTATATCCATACCCCAACCCGAAGGTGGTGTCGTGCTTCTTTAGTTTGATAGGTTTAGTGATTCCCTGGAGGTTCTTGCCGAGCCCCTTGTCGGGTTCATATCCGTTCCAATTCAGTATACTTTCGATCTTGTTATCCCACTACTTATCCTTGTCCTTGGCGTAGACTCGCTCAATATGATGGTAGGTTTCTCCACCTATCTTCCTTCTTCCTCCGATTGCTGGGATGGTCTAGTGATTGTATATGGGATTACTACAGTCGCCATGAATAATCACCTCTTGGTGATTCCACTCGAACTTCACTGCTTGGTGCAGGGTTGATGCTACAGCTACAGCGGCGTGGATCCAAGGTCGTCCCAGTAGTAAGTTGTAAGATGCTGGGATGTCTATCACTTGAAAACAACGTGGAACCAAGTCGGTCCCATTTGCAGACACAAACTGATTTCCCCAATAGTGGACCTTTAGGAACCATCGAAAGCTTTGACGTTGATGACCCCATCCTTGATCTCATGTAGGCTCTTCCCCAATGTTCTGAGAGTCACCAATGGGAAAATATTTGGGCTGGACCCTCCGTCAATCAAAGTCCTGGTGACGAAATAGTCTTCAGATTGCACAATGATGTGCAACGCTTTGTTGTGGCTTAACCCTTCTGGGGGCAACTCATCCTCGTGGAAAGTGATTTTATGACACTCCAATATCTGCCCTACCATGTGCGCCATTTCTCCTCCAGTTATGTTGCTGGGTACATATGCCTCACTCAGTATCTTCATTAAGGCGTTCTTATGTGCATCGGAGCTTTGCAGCAGAGCTAGGATGGAGATCTGTGTCGGTGTTTCATTCAGTTGATCAACGACTGAGTATTCTTTTTCTTGTATCTTTTGCCAGAGATCATCGGGCCCAGTTTCAATAGGCCGTCCAGAGGCCTGCTTATATGATTCAGCTAAATGCTTCGGAGTATAAATCCTGCCTTTTCTGGTCATCCCCTGTGCTGCAATTGCTTCTCCAGACCTAGTGCCTTTGGAGACCCAAACTCCACCTCAATTGGCTCTGTTGGCGGTGTTTCCAGCTCGAGTGGTATGGACATATTTACTTCAGCATCCCCAGAGGGCTGGATCTGGACCACAATTGGATTCAGTGTGATTGTTGATTTCTTGGGCTCGTCACCTTCGGTAATCAATCCAATCGACCCTTTGGGGTCCCAATCATCTTCTACCTCGATCATGTGAACGCTTCCACCCTTATGATCAGGCAGGGGATTGTTGCGAACATTGTGAGTGGGCTCTTTCGCCACGATGATCGTGTTGTCAATTAAGGCTTGGATTTTATCCTTCAGAGATCGGCATTCATCAATGGTATGCCCCTTCATGCCGTAATGGTATGCACAGGTTTTGTTCGGGTTGACCCATTGGGAAGGATTTTCATGAGTTATGGCAGGGATTGGGNGCTGGGATGGTCTGGCGACTGTATATGGGATTACTACCGTCGCCATGAATAATCACCTCTTGGTGATTCCACTCGAACTTCACTGCTTGGTGCAGGGTTGATGCTACAGCTACAGCGGCGTGGATCCAAGGTCGTCCCAGTAGTAAGTTGTAAGATGCTGGGATGTCTATCACTTAAAAGTCAACGTCGAACCAAGTCGGTCCCATCTGCAGACACAAACTGATTTCCCCAATAGTGGACCTTTGGGAACCATCGAAAGATTTGACGTTGATGGCCCCATCCTTGATCTCATGCAGGCTCTTCCCCAATGTTCTGAGAGTCACCAATGGGCAAATATTTAGGCTGGACCCTCCGTCAATCAAAGTTCTGGTGACGAAATAGTCTTCACATTGCACAGTGATGTGCAACTTTTTGTTGTGGCTTAACCCTTCTGGGGGCAACTCATCCTCGTGGAAAGTGATTTTATGACTCTCCAATATCTGCCCTACCATGTTCGCCATTTCTCCTCCAGTTATGTTGCTGGGTACATATGCCTCACTCAGTATCTTCATCAAGGCGTTCTTATGTGCATCGGAGCTTTGCAGCAGAGCTAGGATGGAGATCTGTGCCGGTGTTTTATTCAGTTGATCAACGACTGAGTATTCTTTTGCTTGTATCTTTCACCAGAGATCATCGGGCCCAGTTTCAATAGGCCGTCCAGAGGCCTGCTTACTTGATTCAGCTAAATGCTCCGGAGTATAAATCCTGCCTGTTCTGGTCATGTCCTGTGCTGCAATTGCTTCTCCAGACCTAGTTTTCCCTTTTCTTCTCGCCTCGGCGGTGTAATCCCAAGGAACGGCCTGTGTATGGAACGGTGTTATGGCTGACATTGCTACAGGAATGGGTACCTTCGCTTTGGGAGGTAACACAACAACTTCAAATGGTACAGGTGCCTTTGGAGACCCAAACTCCACCTCAATTGGCTCTGTTGGCGGTGTTTCCAGCTCGAGTGGTATGGACATATTTACTTCAGCATCCCCAGAGGGCTGGATCTGGACCACAATTGGATTCAGTGTGATTGTTGATTTCTTGGGCTCGTCACCTTCGGTAATCAATCCAATCGACCCTTTGGGGTCCCAATCATCTTCTACCTCGATCATGTGAACGCTTCCACCCTTATGATCAGGCAGGGGATTGTTGCGAACATTGTGAGTGGGCTCTTTCGCCACGATGATCGTGTTGTCAATTAAGGCTTGGATTTTATCCTTCAGAGATCGGCATTCATCAATGGTATGCCCCTTCATGCCGTAATGGTATGCACAGGTTTTGTTCGGGTTGACCCATTGGGAAGGATTTTCATGAGTTATGGCAGGGATTGGGGTGACGTAACCAGCAGCTTTGAGCCTTTCATACAGCTGGTCGATTGGTTCGGCGATGGCGGTGTATTGCTTGGGAGGTCTACGGTCGAAATTAGGGCGTGGTCTAGGTAAGTTTTGGCGGGTGGGAGGTGATTGATAGTGAGAGGGCTGAGCATTATAGGCTTGGTAGACGGGTACGGGTTTGGGAATATCTTGGTGAGGTAGGTTGATATGTGGGGGGTGGAGATGATTGGTAAGTAGGTGGTAGAACTTAGTAGGAGGGCGAGGGTGCTTGGTAGTTTGGAGTGGGTTGATATGTGAGCGGGGGAAATGGATAGGTTTGGTATTTTATTGGGGATTTTGTTCTCTGTGCAACCATCACGGCACTCACATCCTTTTCTTGGACGTTCCACCAGACTGTAGAGCCTTTTTGGTAGCCTGCAATGCCTCAAAATTAGTGACCATACCACTTTTAATGCCTTCCTCAATCCTTTCCCCTAGCTTGATGATGTCGGAGAATTTCTGGCCTTCGATCAACATCAACCTCTCATAATACTGTGGATCCTGAGCTCGGACGAAAAACCTGTTCATCTGTTCTTCTTCCAAGGCCGGTCTGACCTTAGCAGCCTCTGATCTCCAACGAGTAGCATACTCGCGGAATGTCTCCGTAGGTTTCTTCTTCAAATTCTGGATGTAGAATACATCTGGCGCATTCTCCATATTGAATTTGAACCTATCCATGAAATGGGACGCCATTCCTACCCAGCTTGTCCGCTTCTTGGGGTCTTGGCTAATGTACCAAGATAGAGCATCACCTTTCAAACTTCTCATGAAGAGCTTCATGCGAATCTTTTCATCCTTTCCGACTCCGACCAGCTTATCGCAGTATGTCCTCAAATGGACTCTGGGATCCCCTGAGCCATCAAACATCTCGAACTTGGGAGGTTTGTACCCCTCGGGAAGTTCGACGTCTGGCTGAATGCAAAGGTCCTCATAATTCAGCCCCTCAATGCCTTTGTTTCCTTCAACACCCTGGACTCGGCTAGTCAGTTTCTTGAGTTCTGCGGCCAGGTTCTTGATGAGAGAGTCTTTGTCATCAGACTCCGGTGTGCTTGAAATAGGTTGAGTATATTGTGCCATGGTTTCCAGGTAGATGGGGGTGTGGTGGGGATGATCATTTAGTGGTTCGGGAATGAGGAGCGGGGTGTTGTTTGAAGTGTGACATGTGTTGCAATTTTGATGGAGAGCGGGTTGTTTCTGTGGTTTCGGGATGTTCTGTGGAGGTATAGGATTTTGAGCATTAGGGATGTTGACGTCTGGGGTAGTGAGGGAAAATGACAAGTTTGCCAAGTTACGAACTTGGTCCAGTTCTTCTTGAAATTTCAATAACTTCTGTTCGAGCTGAGTGGCACTTTCCTTGGAAACCTGAATACCCTGAGTAACCTCTACCCGTTCACCCGAGTTCTCCTTTCTGATGTTTCTCAAGTCTTCCATTTTCGATTTGTTCTTGTTTCTGATAAGACTCGGAAGAGGAGGAGGTGGAGGGCCCTTAGATCTTGTGGAGTAG